GGACAGCTGATATCAAATTGCCAGCTGCAAATGCAGGTATGGCGAGTTCAACTACGAATTGCACCAGCGGTTCTAGACAATTTATTGATCCATTCGCCAACCTGGGCAACCTCTTCGAACAACCGATGCCTAGACCTAGGTCTACGGTTCCAACCGAAAATGTACCGCGTGTTTCTCCAGCCCACAGTCCTAATCACCAACAGGCTTTTCAAGGTGAATGATCATTTCTTCCAGATCGTTGGCCTCATAGATAACATGGAAAGCCAATTCCTCCTCTCAATATTTATATTCTTTCTACTCACGATATCGTTTCCTTCAATTTGCTATTTTCCTACTTTTTTCAGTCGCATTATCAACCACACAAGCTCTATTTCTCTTAGCCATATCATATACTTCCCTTAAATTTATTAGTATATCCGTTTTTTCTTCCTACCCTTTTCTATTTTCCCATTCTCCCCTAGTTTGTTGAATATCCTATCACTTCACCACATTCTTAGTTTCTGCTTAGACACTTTTTCTCAAGCTATATTCTATTGTTTGCCTCTACAACCTTATCGGATGCAGGGGTCTAACGTAGACTCATTTTCTTAAAGTAGCTTTATCAGCATAAGGTTCTGGAATTCCATTGTCGAAGACCCTTTATTAGGCACATACCTCGTCATCACATTGAACCTCTTCCTTTCTAAAGCTAATATATTCTTATATGAGGATTCATACTACAGCCATCATTTTTAAGAGTTTTTTAAACAATCTTTGTAATGAATGCACATAATAATATGGAGTATTCAATAGGTGGCTTTATCCTTTAAATGATTGTCTTCTTCTGCAATGACTTAATTTAGGATCTAACTGCATAATTCGTCAGCTCGAATAGTTTTTTTCTACTATTCCTTTAAGATGTGCATTTCTATTAAAAGAACCGAATGAACCCATATTATTTCAATTATTATGCTGTAGGAAATGATTTTTATCGAATGGGCACTGGCATCCCAGATTACCCAGGCACCACTGCTACCTCCGGAGGGGTGTTTTTTTCCGATAGAAGCTGGAGCACTACGGTAGGACCTACATCGTCTCATGCCTCTGCCCAGGGCGCTCAGGCCTTTCCTGGCCCCACCTATAGCCAAGCACCTGCTGGTGCAAATCAAGCATCATCCGATTTTGGCGATGTTCATACCTCCGCCTGGCAGCAGGTACCATCTTTTTCAGCGTCTGCTGGAAATGCTGGTGGACCTTTTGGTACAGGTCTTGGCGCTCGTCTGGGTGCCGATGCTTTTTCCGATCTACTTGGTGGTTTTGGATCTGGGGCTGACTCTTTTTCAGGAGGCTCTGGCCTGCCAAGTCAGCATAGTTTTACAGCAAAGACGATTCGAGAGCTGCAAATGGAGAAGATGGCTAAAACTCTGGATCCAGATACGATGAAGGTAAAGCAAATAAGAAATAACGTGAATTGGCGCATAAGACTAGGTTTGGATATGTTGAATGACTAGGTTTAGGAGCTTGTCGATTTGTGAAGATGCATTATATCCAAGACTTAATACGAATCATCTCTTATATGCCGAGTTCTAGCGAAAAATGAATTATATAGTCTATCTCCTTGTGACACATTTTTCAATTATTTTACCTTATTCGATCATATTCCAGATTCATTCTTTATCACATCGAAATTGTATATGCTAATTTCTGACTTCGAATTATAAATTGCGTATTCTCACTTCGTATTGATTCGCAAATCTTCATCAAGGCAGTCATATTTCGGACAGTCAGACAGTGATTTTTAAGTTGAGCAGCGACCATTTGACAAGCGTGGTAGGAGAAATGGGGCAGATTGTAGGTCAGAAGACCTGCAAACGTTACCTGGTACATGTAGGCGACGTTGTATGAAACAATAGCACACAATTGTGTTAATAGGTAGATGGGCCATATTAAATGGGGTTGAGAGAAGGAGATCCAGCACAAGAAGTAGTGATGCCATTACGGTTGAACAGAAAATTGGTCAATGTTATTTTCTTAACTTGTCACTTTGATAAGTTTTAATCCTGTATTAACGATTGCGCCTTTGACTGACGTTGCCGGCGAAACGCTTGGGAATGAGCCAAGTCTATGGTCCGAAGCTATAAATCACGAATACTATGGCAGCGGACACAGGACTAGGTAGATTCCATAAGATCTACCAGACGCTGCGATCAAGTTTCGAAAACAAGATCGAAGTAATTCTATAAGGCTAAACTAAACTAAGACTTCTGAGAGTGCAGTCCATTCTGGGTAGCAATACCTTTTGGGAAGTCAAGTATATGTAAAATTTAGTGGAATCGTAAGGTTTATTCATATCATTGTAGGAAATTCAACTATCAGTCTCCTTATCACCTTAAACGAAATAGATGAATGCACATTAAATATAAGTGATCTATTGGTAGTCTATAAAACCTACTTGTGAACGAAAATATAATTATTTATAGAACTTGTTTTTGCAACTTGATCATATTGGCATGAAGACATAGAGGAATACACCTTGTCCGGAGTCCATATGATAATTTTCCGAGTCGGACCGTGGGCTTGGTACATTCCCAGGCGTTCCGCCGTCTTCGTAGTCGACATCGTCACTGAGCCTTGCCATTATTAGCACCACACTACAACTCGTCAAAGAGTCAAGTGTAGTCGATCCTTTGACCAATTGTGTGCTAATCAGTTGTATCTCTCCTGTCCTGGGCTATTCATCTATCCTATATCCTCGTATCACCCTTTCAATATCACCATTTCTTGTTTATCTAAACCTACTTGAAGCCTATTCAAATTACCCGTTGGTTTCCACATCCCTCCCACTGTGCCGGCACTGTTGATTTAAGGCTGTGGTTTAATCCGCAATCATCTCCGTTCCTATCAGAGTCCCCTCTTCCTCCGTAGTATCCTTCCCTTATCTGCCTGTCTCAGTGATTTCACGCCATCGCTGCCACCGTATCCGTGCTACTCAAGGCGTTATGTTCTACACTCTGCCTCGAGCCTTTGATTGCACGTATACACCAGCCTTACTGAGCAAGCCCCTAAAGTCTGGATTCTCACTTGGCATGACAACCTAACTTGACGCTGCAGATTCTCTTATCGCTGTCTGGCATGTGCATCGAGTAAACCTCGTAATCAAGCCTTTACTTCGTGTATCACGTCTATAAGCAAATTTATTTACTAATAGCCAACTAGAAATGGTCACCACTGTTTCTCTCTCTCTTCTATGACGTTCTATTGCGTGCCAACCCCCAAATTTGGTGGTTCTACTTTATTCAATGGGCTCACTGTATACGTCTTCTCTTGGTTTCCGATTGTTCCCCTCTAGTCTACTTATAATTTCTTTCTCTAAAATTAAAAGTATTACCTTTTTCAAGTCGTCTTCTTTTGGTTTATATTGCTGTTACCTGATCTCCGAGTTTTTTTAGGCAGTATGAAAAGTTTTCGCTAATCCTGCCTTCTTCAAGTCTCCTGTTCATTAGGTTTATTTCAGTATTCTACGTTTTATTTTATTTTTATAAATGCATTGGGGTACCCGTTACTAAGGCAAATCCGAATCAGTATCTCAAACTCCTCCTTTTATAACTCAATGTTCGTTAGTCTTAAGCTTCTGATGATCATACTCCTCATTATTCCAATCTTCAGTCCGTAAGCATGATGAGACTGGAAATTGGAGATTATTCTTGCATGTGATTTCTTCCTGAATATTCTCTTCTTGAGTATTCTCTTTAAGCGAATGGCCTTAACATCCAGGAAGGATAGTCGTTAATCCCTCTACCTCCATTGTGAATTTAATTCTTCCGTCAAGTTGGTTTATAAATTGAAGAACTCATCCCAATTTTCCTTAACATGCGACCAAGGTGCAGAGTAGTCGTCCAGGTATCGTATGAGTACTCTTGGTTGCAGCGGTGACTTCTCGAATTCTTTCTCCGATCTATCCATGTATATATTTGCCAAAAGAATTGAGAGTTGAGTTCTCATCAGTAGTCCAAATTTTTACTCATAGGTATTTCCGTTGAATGTAATATGTGGTACTTACTGTCAGGTTGATTAGTCGTGTAAACGACTGCTTCCATATCCACTCTTTTTCCAAGATATTCTTCTCTCGTTCCAAGGCCTCCAGCAAGGAGTGATTGCCTTTTCCCCTGAGATATTTGTGTACATGGATTGTACGTCAAAACTTATCAACATTTCTGTTCCTCCTAGTCCAATGTTTTGAATCCTTTAAGAAAATTCATATGCATTCTTCACCGTGTTCTAGAGTATGTCGTTTACTTTCTTAGCCTTCAAGTATATAAATTTCGCTAATTTGTATGTTGCTCTATGCTTATTGTTGACTATTAACCTTAGTGGTTTCCCTTCCTTGTGTATCTTCGGTAGTCCGTAGGCTTTCGGTAGTCGCGTCATTTTTTATTAACGAATTTATCATCCATCTGTTGATTTCTTCGTTATGCATTTCCTTCAGAATTATGTTGATCTTTATTGTTAGATCCTTTCTTTTTATCACATAGGTGTTCCAGTCGCCTGGGATACTTTCCATTTTCTCCATGTACTGTTGCCCGTCCATTATCACCGTCGCACCTCCCTTATCCGCCTAAAGAACTATTTGACCATTCATTTCTTATTTTCTACATATCTTCTTCATTCCACTCATGTTCATTGACTCTTGATGGGACACAATTTTTGGACTTAATTCCATTTCAATCTCCCGTTTGGTTTCTCCTGAGAATTTATCTGAGATGTTGATAACTTCTACAAGGATATCTTCTAAATTATTACCTTCGTTACCAAGTGAAAAATTTATCTCTTGTTTCAGGAGATTCGCTGTCTCGGAATCAAGAGGGATTGAGGATAGGTTCACTACCTTATCCCTATCGTCGGTTGTAGCAGTTGGTGCCTTCAATACAAAACCATCAGAACTTGCCCGATTTGGCTTGGTCCTGTGTTGTCTTATTATTCCATAGCTAAGCAATTTCTTGTCATGCCGCCTATTTATCAAATCCCGGACCTCCCGTGCCTTCTGATCAGTCATACCCTGAAGTTTTTGGAAATCTGGAGTTAGAACCTTGCCTAGATCCTTCCTTAATCCAGACTTAATATCTATTAACTTAAATAGCTTACGCCTCTCAGTCCCGCTACTTTCCTTAAATTTCTGGGCGGATGCGTGATAAAGTATTTCATTAATTGTCCGAATGACACTTCCTCATTAGCTTGCAAAATCCGGGAGCGATACTATAATGTTTGCAATAATTTAATAGGGTCAGACGGCAAGATTGATCTACTATTGTCTTCTTTGTCCTTCTTCATTCAGTACATTGTTTGACAATCCTACTTCCATAGTTTAACCGAAGATATGAAGATTAGGATGGTGTGACCTTTTGTATGGTTGCGATGTCCTTTTGTTGTATAGAAGTTGTTTGATCTTGTTTTCGCAACTTGGGAATATTGGCTGGAAGACCTAAAGGAGCGCACCTTGTCTGGAGTCCATAGTATGCATGATAATTTCCGGAGTCAGACTGTGGACTTGATACACTCCTAGTCACTTCGCCGGCATTCTCGTTGAGCCTTGACATTTTTCAAAAGATCGACTTCATTTGTCTATTTATTGAGCCATAATATGGTGTTACGAGTGGCAAAGTTTATTGACGATGCTGGTGAAACGCCTGGGAAGTCCACAGTCACAGTGTAAATTAGCATGCATGCTCTGGATTCCGGACAAGGTGCGTTCCTCTAGGTCTTCCTGCCCCAATATGACCAAGTTGCAAAAACAAATCCAAACAACTCATATACATCGAAATGAGATCACAATCATACTAAAATCGTGACCATCTTGGTCTTTATAACTTCGATTATACCTGTGTTTATATTTTAAAATTTTAGATATTTTGATTGACTTTTATACTGATATCTACCACCCAGTGGTAATTTTATTTATAATGGGCACTAATACATGGCAATAAAATGAAGCGTAATTCAATAGTGATAAAATATGCCTTTTGTCATATAATTTGTTTTTTTTCTTTTAGGAACTCCTACTACTTAGGTGGTCCTATATTCACCTTGTTTTATAAATTCTCATCTTCCTTACCTTATTAATTCATTCTTTGCCTCTATCTTAGGGCTCCTAAAGCGAATACAAATGTTTTGCCAATTTTTACTTCATTTGCTAAGGTATTATCCTGGACGGAAGGGAAACAGCGTAACCTTCGATCGTTAATATGCACCATGCCTTCAGTGCTATGGGAAGGAGTACGCTGGAAGCCTGTATCTATGTCGGAGTTAATGACGTCCGATCAGGTGAAAAGGCAATATAGGAATGCGGCCAGAGCTGTCCATCCGGACAAGGTGAAAATTTCTATCTACTAAATATCAGCGGCCTTCCTGGGCCTTTATTGATCATATATCCTTATATAAAATTAAGCAATTTCTACCTAGATGCTATCATTAATGACCTAAATCCTGATAGCCGTCATCAAATTTACCTGTCATGCTAAAGCACAATCGATTTTGATACATCCTCACATTTGCTTATGCTGCTGGTCTGCTTTAATCTATCAAAATGGGGTATATTATATGCTCTAAATTCTAAACTGTGCAATTTAAGTATATCAGATAAACTCGTTTGCTTCCTGAGAAGACAAAACTCTCCTATTTTTAACTACCATTTATTTTCTTTTATAACTTAGGCATCAAAATAAATGATTAGACAGCCTCAGCTATTAGGCTTGAAGCTATCCAACCACGGAAATAAGTCTCCAAATCAAACGAAATTCTTGATTATTTGTGATAAATGTGATATACCTAAGGCCATCGATGGCTATGCTATCTTTAATTCTTACATAGATTCAGGTGAGTTTAACGTTATTTTTGGAGGCCAGAACTAACTCTAGATTACTAACAAATTGAGCCCGTCATTTAATAATGAACTGCTAATTGCAAATTAGTAAATCTTACATTTAGTTGCGGCCAAAAGTAGACATAATTTCAGCCTATATACCTGGATGAGTTACACTGAAATGATTTATGTTTCGATTGATTGCTATAAAAGGATACTTATTTTTGGACAAAAAGCCTGTTTTATTTTGCTTATGAGTCACATTCTTTTATTGATGCTATACAATGGGTTTCTCAGACCACTTGAAGTCAGGCCTTTTTAGACTTTACAGTGGTGCTCACATGGCTCATATATGTAACTCTGATTTTCTACACTAACCTACACCTTTTTATCACTTGCAGTGGATGAATACCGAATACGAGAACATCGCTAGGCTGATCCTAGTTGAGCTTAATGATGCCGTTGCCGAATTGGAAAAGGAAAAAGTTTTGGGCCTCTGATCCATAATCGCTATTTGTGGTGGCTCCAACTCTAAACTGGGCTAACTTCCTTTCCCTAAGGCGAACCCGAGCTGTCTTATCCTTTTTAATTCAAGTAGAGTGCTTCTCTGATGAATCGTTACGTTACTATCACTATTCGATATTCATCTGCAGCAGTGGCGAATTACGTCTCATCGACAGTACAACTCGCAAGTTGATCGGCACTCATGGTATGCTTCCTACAATTTTCGTTGTAAAATATTGGCTTTCCCACACGAGAGCCAACTTCATAGCAGCAAATCATTCTTTTCACCAAGTAGTCTGTTGTGGATATATGCGTCCACACACGCACCCATGACACGTACGTACGGCTCGCCATTGCTTATTTGCCACAAAATGAGATGTCTTTTTTATGACGTACTACGCGCCCTCTTGCTAATTGTGATAACTGAGGCTGGACTTAGAGATCGAGCACAAATGTTGTCCTATTCAGTTTTCTCACCAAATTCTATCCCCGAAGATGACCTTAATCAGACATTCCATTTACAAACCCAAGCAAAATAATTATTCTAAATTTTTTTATATGCTATATGCTTATTTCCTCTACTTCCTCAAGAGCTCTACATCAACACAATATCTCTCAACTCATTTTACTGGCTTTGTATAGATACTTGTCTGAATTTTGAGTATACTTTATTTTTTATTTTGCAAAGTTTTCTTTCGATTCAAACAGGCACTATTCGTGTTTCACAATTCTAAAATGGTGCCCGTCTTCATTAGTATTGGTACAATACTCAGCCGAATCAGGTTTTCTAACA